CGCGCGCGACACCGCCCGCCGCGCTCGGATCCGATGCAGGAAAGCCGAGTGTTGCGAGAACGTGGCTCGGCCGGGGATGCAGCCCAGCGTACCCCTACCTCCGTCCCGGAACTAACCCCCGGCCCCACTCTTCACTTCTTAGCTTAGGGACCTCTACGGCTCGACTGCATCGCAGGAAGCCCCACCCTCCCTTAGGCCTTTCCCCCCCCCCGGGTTCCGCCCCCAAGGAACCGTGCAGGAATCCAACCAATGAAACGTCTCCTGCCTGAAGCCAATTAGCCAATGGTCGTTAAGTGGGTGGAATGGCCCGCCCACGACCGGGAGGTTTTGAGCGGGTACCCAGGAATGCCGGCAGTAACTGCTGGTTTCTGCTGCCGGCCACGCCCCCATTTAGCTTCGGATTCGCCGGGTGGTTTTCTATGTTCATTTTTTTTTTTAATTTATTTTTTAGTTGTAGTTGGACACAACACCTTTATTTTTATTTATTTTTACGTGGTGCTGAGGATCGAACCCAGGGCCTTGCACGTGCTAGGCGAGCACTCTACCGCTGAGCCCCAGCCCCAGCCCAGCCACAACCCCAGCCCCTGTGTTCAATTTTATGGGTTGGTGGGTGTAGTTGTTTAAATGCAGGGCCTTGTAGCTCCCACAGAACCCCTTCAGGTTTGGGCCTGCCAGCTAATATCCCCCAGGGGAGGGCTGCGTCCCCTGGAAGCCCCTCAGATCAGCTCTGTGTCTCCCTCACCCCTGGGCCGAAGTCCTGTCCCCTCTCACATCTTCTAGAGCTCTCCGAGGACAGCAGAGTGGGGGTTTCAAGCTCCCAACAGTAATCCAGATGCTTATCTTTAGGCTCTTTTCTTCGTTCCCACACGACTCCAGGGGGCGCCACGAGCCCGTATCTGGCCAGAGCTGTCCACTCGAAGGCCGATAGGCTCTCGCCTCACTGCCGACCTCGAGGTTTCGGAGCCAACCTTAGTTTCTTCATCTAGAAAATGGAGAGGTTATGAGATTTTGATAAAACGATGGCGGCAAAGTGTGCCAAGTTTGGAATTCAGTTAACATAGCTTTACCAGGGATTGAATCCAGGGACGCTTAACCATTGAGCAACACTCCCGGCTCTTTTTAGTTTTTAATTTTAATTTCCAGGATCTCCCTAACTTGCTGAAACTAGCCTTAAACTTGAGATCCTCCTGCCTCAGCCTCCTGAGTCACTAGGATTATGGACATGTGCCACCACGCTAGGATGTAGCACTATTATTGAAGGGAGAGGTTTGTCATCAAAGAGAAAGGAGACAAAACAAGGGTGGGAATGGACCCTGGAGGATTTAAGTGCTGTACTAAATTGAATGTGGGCTTTTTCTTCTTTCTTTTTCCTTTTTTTTTTTTTTTTTTGCATCTGATATGTAATACTTTGTAGGCATTTTTATGGAGTATTAGTTAAAATTTACAATGGAGCTGGGGGTGTAGCTAAGTGGTAGAGTGCTTGCCTAGCATGGGTTCCATCCCCAGCTCTGCAAAAGAGCTTTTTTTTTTATATATATATTTATTTTTTAATTTTCGGCGGACACAACATCTTTGTTGGTATGTGGTGCTGAGGGTCGAACCCAGGCCCCACGCATGCCAGGCGAGCGCGCTACCGCTTGAGCCACATCCCCAGCCCCAAAAGAGCTTTTTAAAATTTATTTTACAAAGTATTTTACAGTCATGTGCCACCACATAATGAGGCTTCAATCAGCAGAATAATAGAACTAAACATTAATACTGCTTGGTAACTTTTTTTTTTTTTTGGTACCAAGGATTGAACTCAAAGGCATTTAACCACTGAGCCACATCCCCAGCCCTGTTTAGTGTCTTTTTAAATTTTTTTTTTTCAGTGCTTATAATATTCAGTATAGTAACACTGTACTGATTAGTAGCTTAGGAGCAGCAGGCTGTATCACATAGCTTAGGTGTGCAGTAGGCCACATCTCCTAGGTGTGATGTAAAAGGCATACCCTCTGATAGTCTGCTCTGAGGACAAATCTGTTCTGAGGACAAAATCCCCTCTGTATACATTTCTCAGTATGTGTCCTTGTCATCAAGTGACATGACTATTCTATCACCACAAAATGTGAATGTGTGTTTAAAACTCCATAGACTTTCCTTTTTTGTTTGTTTGTTTATACTGGGAATTGGACCCAGGGATGCTCTACCACTGAGCTATAATCCCCAGTGCTTTTTATTTTTTGAGACAGGGTCTCACTAAATTGCTGAGGCTGGCCTTGAACTTGTAATTCTCCTGCCTCAGTCTCCCCAGGTGGGTACCAGTGTACTTGGCTATATTTTGCAATTAAAAAGAAAACTGACACATACATACACCCTGGGGTGGTGGTACATGCCTTTAATGCCAGAGATACAGGAGCCTGAGGCAGAAGGATCACAAGTTCGAAACCAGCCTCAGAAACTTAGTGAGGCCCTAAGCAACTCAGAGACTCATCTCAAAATAAAAAAATGAAAAAGGGCTGGGGATGTGGCTCAGTGGCTAAGCACCCCTGGGCTCAATCCCCAATTCTCCCTCCCCCAAAAACATAATAATTATGCATTTTATGGGATACTGTGTGACAATTCACTATGTATTTATATAATGTGTGATGATCAAATCAGGGTAATTAGCATGTGCCTGTCTGTAAACATGTATCATTTCTTTGTGTTGGGAGCCTTTGAACTCTTCTTTCTTTATAAAATACATAATAAATTGTTGCTTGCTAGTCTCCCTACTTTGCTGTAGGATATTATAATGTATTTCTCCTATTTATCTGGGTTTTTCCTTTGGGGGAGAAGGGCAGGGATTAATCTCAGGTCCTCTCATGTGCTAAGCAAGCACCTACTACCGAACTACACCCCAGGCCCCTTCTAAGTATATTCCGGAACCTGTTTTCCAACTTTGTTCTCTCTCCCCTTCCCCTACCTTCCCAGCCTCTGGTGACCAATTTTTTTTTTTTTTTAGTGGGAGGGGTTACTGAGGATTGAACCCAGGAGTACTTCACTACTGAGCTTCATCCCCATCCCTTTTTTATTTTTTATTTTGTGACAGGGTCTTGGTAAGTTGCTTAGGGCTTGGTTAAATTGTTAAGGCTGGCTTTGAACTCGATCCTCCTGCCTCAGCCTCCTGAGCAGCTGGGATTACAGGCATGTACCACCACTGTTTTACTCTATACTCCTATGATATCAACTTTCATAGCTTCCACATGCATGAGAACATGCACTATTTGTCTTTCTGTGATTGACTTATTTCACTTATAATGTCTTCCAGTTCCATCTGTGTTGCCACACATGTAAGGATTTCATTCTTTTTATGGCTGAGTAATACTCCATTGTGTATGTAGACTACATTTTCCTGTGTGGATGGACACCAGGGTTGATTCCATATCTTAGCTGTTGTGACTAGTGAAGCAATAAAGCCTGCCCGTGGAGGTATTTCTTTGGTTCACTGATTTCATTTCCCTTGGTTATGTGTCCAGTGTAGAATAGCTGGATCATATGGTAGTTCTATTTTTGGTTTTTTGAGGAACCTCCATACTCTTTTCCATAATAGCTGTACTAATTTGCATTCTCGACACACACAAGTGTTCCCCTTTCTCTGCATCCTCACAAGCATTTGCTATTTTTTTTGTCTTCTTGATTAAAGTCATTCTAACTGCAGTGAAATGACAACTTGTTGTGGTTTTGATTTGCATTTCCCCTAATGATTAGTGATGGTGAGCATTTTTTTTTCCTGTGTATTTCTTGGCCATTTACTTTGCAATTTTAAAAGATCTTTTCATTCCCAATTTTGTAGAATTGTATTCATTTTGTGTTTTCATGGGTTATTCACATACCTGGTAAAGAAAAGTTCAAAAAAATTACAAATGGAA